TGTGTCCCACTGCTTATTTCACATCTCCCTCAGCAGCCTTTTCCAGCATTACTTTCAACCAAAGGTGAGCAGTTTGAATTTTTAATCTGAATTTAATATCAGTGTCTCTGATTTTATATGCATTAAAGTTGGTCACAAATGTCAAATCTGTAAAGCAGCACTGTCTGGTTAAATATTTCAATTTATCCTAACAAACTTGAAGCATTTTATTATAGTTTTTTTTAGTAGACAGACAAAGTAATTTTAAGCCTCAGTTTTGTACTATATAATGGCCGTTAAGCAAACGACAGGAGCTAGAAAGGTGGCTATCATCATCCATTTCGTGAGGAAACGTGCTCAGATATATATATATATATATATATATATATATATATATATATATATATAGTTAGCGCTTTATTATTTTTGGTTTATTATTTATCTTTTCCTTCCACTCTGTGACATTGAGCAGTACAGAATGTGAAATATTTATGTTCACTTTCATTGCAATAAACGACTGTTTTCAGAGGTATAACATTTAAAAGACGTAACGCCGGTACATGTATTCTGTTACTCCCCAACACTGGTAATAAAGAAAACCAGAAACAATTTGGTGAATGCATTTAGGTTTTGGGAAGTTTTGCATTAGGGAGATTTGTGTATGAAAACCTGTAAATGGAAAGATGGCAGGATTTAATCTTTAGTTCAGTTTCATTTCCTTTTTATCAGAAACTGAAAGTGAGTCTTATTGTCGTACTCTTTCATTAAGAACATGACACTTTTTGCCTCCAGCAGGCTTCCTGACCTTGCTTTACGTGTGACTTTCCATAGCAGTTATTTTTCTGTTATCTGGACATGGCTATTTTATTACATATTTTATGTGTTTAATCTTCACAGAGTTAAATATAAGCATCTTTTGACTATGCCTATCTATCTAAACAGCTCTGGAAGAAGGATAGTCATGCATCAACACCACTTCTTCATCTCCCCCACCCCCTTATTTGTTTTCTCAGCTCTGCTTTTCCCTGCACACCCACTTTACTCTGTCTAGGTTTAGCGTTGTGTTATATGTAGAGATCCACTTTCACTTGCCTTTTGCCAAACAGTCAACTACACCTTTTGCAAAACCGAGTCTCAGTTTTGTTTTTGGACTTTTACTTTTTGCTAGATTTTTCTTTTCACCCTGTTCCAGTGTGTGCCTCCCTGCATTTTTTTTATTTACTTCTCTTATTGTCAACTGTCTTTTCTGCATTACTTTAAACCAAAGGTAAGTAGTTTAAACTTTTAATGTGAATTGAATAAAAGTTTATCTGAATATAGAATCAGAGCCACTGCATTTAAGGAGCAGTTGATTACAAAGGCCTCATTTTCAAGCAGTACTTTTAAAATTAAATATTACAGTTTATCTTTTAGTTTTAGTTTCTTGCATATGGATAATTTTGTGCAAAAAAATTGGGCCTAAGTAAGTGGCTGAAGAGATTTGAAGGTGAAGTATTGAAATGTGTCCCTGATGGGTACAGATATTGATACTGATGTGATATGTTAACTGTGAAACATAAAATCTTTTACTAAAAGTGCTGCAACATTGTTCTGCAGTCCAATGTAAACATTTTGTACATTCTCCAGACCCGTGGGTTGCGCCAGGAAGTTGGGGGTGGGGAGGTTTAGGGTGTAAGAGATAAAATGTACATTGCATTCCTCTTGTCACGATCTAATACGCTCTATAAAGTCTGCGAACTAGCAAACCCAGCTGTACACAGAGCACAAGAATAAACAGTATAAACTGAAACTGATTGGTCCGCACAGCCAAGAAAATCATATCAGATGTTCTGTGGCTAAAATAACTTTTTCATCCACAAAATGGGTGGAGGTCTTAGAACGGAGAACTTAAGACCGTTAGAACTTTTCTATCAAACTCAGCTTAAGTCTGAGAAAAAGTACTCTCCTCTCCTTCCGTTCTTAAAGTGCAAAAGTCTTTAAGTATTTTGTCAGAAATATTTTTTATTCTGTTTCCAGTGACATTATGTTCAGTTGAGGTACTGTTGCTGCCCATCTTAAATTGGGGTTTAGACAACTTGCCTCATTCACCCATTCACGCCCATTCATACAACCACTTTTTCTGTGCTCTTTACTTTAGACTTTCTGAATGCAGGATATTTTATTAAAGCTATTTAGCAGGAGCAAAGCAAAGGATGACTTAAATAATAATAATTAATGTGTCCTGTTTGTGTCCCACTGCTTACTTCACATCTCCCTCAGCAGCCTTTTCCAGCATTACTTTCAACCAAAGGTGAGCAGTTTGAATTTTTAATCTGAATTTAATATCAGTGTCTCTGATTTTATATGCATTAAAGTTGGTCACAAATGTCAAATCTGTAAAGCAGCACTGTCTGGTTAAATATTTCAATTTATCCTAACAAACTTGAAGCATTTTATTATAGTTTTTTTTAGTAGACAGACAAAGTAATTTTAAGCCTCAGTTTTGTACTATATAATGGCCGTTAAGCAAACGACAGGAGCTAGAAAGGTGGCTATCATCATCCATTTTGTGAGGGAACGTGCTCAGATATATATATATAGTTAGCGCTTTATTATTTTGGTTTATTATTTATCTTTTCCTTCCACTCTGTGACATTGAGCAGTACAGAATGTGAAATATTTATGTTCACTTTCATTGCAATAAACGACTGTTTTCAGAGGTATAACATTTAAAATACGTAACGTCGGTACATGTATTCCGTTACTCCCCAACACTGGTAATAAAGAAAACCAGAAACAATTTGGTGAATGCATTTAGGTTTTGGGAAGTTTTGCATTAGGGAGATTTGTGTATGAAAACCTGTAAATGGAAAGATGGCAGGATTTAATCTTTAGTTCAGTTTCATTTCCTTTTTATCAGAAACTGAAAGTGAGTCTTATTGTCGTACTCTTTCATTAAGAACATGACACTTTTTGCCTCCAGCAGGCTTCCTGACCTTGCTTTACGTGTGACTTTCCATAGCAGTTATTTTTCTGTTATCTGGACATGGCTATTTTATTACATATTTTATGTGTTTAATCGTCACAGAATTAAATATAAGCATCTTTTGACTATGCCTATCTATCTAAACAGCTCTGGAAGAAGGATAGTCATTCATCAACACCACTTCTTCATCTCCCCCAGCCCTTTTTTGTTTTCTGAGCTCTGCTTTTCCCTGCACACCCACTTTACTCTGTCTAGGTTTAGCGTTGTGTTATATGTAGAGATCTGCTTTCACGTGCCTTTTGCCAAACAGTCAACTACACCTTTTGCAAAACCGAGTCTCAGTTTTGTTTTTGGACTTTTACTTTTTGCTAGATTTTTCTTTTCACCCTGTTCCAGTGTGTGCCTCCCTGCATTTTGTTGTTGTTGTTTTTTTACTTCTCTTATTGTCAGAAGAAGAAGGAAGAAGGATAGTCAGATCCTGTTGTTCTGCTTTGTCAACAATGTGTGTTTCTGATGAAATAGTACATGAGAATAATCTGAATAAGTTGAAACAGCACCTCTGTTTGTCACCAAACTCATTGTTGCTGTTGTAAGTGATGTAACTTTTTCTTCTTTGTTATTTTTATTTAATTTATTATTATTCATTTTTGCAAAGTTTTTTTTGTTTTTCTTTCTTTACTTGACCCCTTTAACTCATTTGAACTTTGACATACAGACAACAATGAACCAAGACAGTTTCTACATTTGACAAACATCCAGCCACTCTCGTCAGCCCTTCCTGCTTTTCTCATTCCCTGATCGGCAGATCAGGTTTTACTTTGTTTCTGACCATAGCTGGACTGGCCATTGGGCATACCGGGCATTTGCCCAGTAGGCGGTGATTTTTCGTTTTTTGGTGGGCAGATGGTTTTTTTTGTTTGTTTGTTTTGTTTTGTTCTGTAACGGTATAAACAATGAAAGTTCATGGATTGGCCAAAGTGTCATGATAAACTCTGGGCTGGACCAATTACAGCCGAGGAGGTTGGATGCACCCTCGATCAATGATCAGCTGATCGTCTTTTCTGTCCCGTCTCTCGCGCTTGCCCACTTTGCGCCAGAAAGAGGAAACCAGCGGATGTCGAGTTAAACAATAGCAGCACGTTTAAGCTTGATCAGCTGTTGTTAGAATTTATTTAATATTAATTTCTAGTATCAGCTGATGTTGGCTGGAGCAACAGCTGCAAAGCTGCTGGTCATGATGTCGGTTTGGATATGTGGTCAGAGGGAAACATGAAGATGAAACCAGGAAATGTCCTTACTGAATCATCAGAGCTGAACAGGTGATGGAGAAACAGGTTTACCTTTTAGGTGACATGAATGAGTTGAAGGGAAGTTATGAACTGTTTCTGAGAGATAAATAACACCAGGATGCTTTGTAGCTGACAGCTGGTAACTGTGCAGGGGCGGATCTAGCTAAGTTTTGCCAGGGGGCCAGGTAGGGCATTAACAGGGAAATTCTCATTTAAAATGTCTGGTTTTTAATAAATAATTATCTGAATCTTACAAACAAAGTTTTCATCTGATGTAAAATGTATAAAAATCCATTATTGTATCTAGTAAATATTAAGTCTAATATATACTCTAAGCTATGGTAGTTTTTCCTTTCTGAAGGTGTCATCTGTGCAGTCTACAATTATGTTGAAGAAATTATTATTTAATTATTGTAATGTGTTAATAATTGATTTCTGTGCATTTGTTTTTACATGTGCATTAAATTAAAGACGATTATGTCAATTAAGCATCACGAGGCGGAGGGTGGGGGTGGTTCCGTATTTTTTTTTTTTTTGGGGGGGGGGGGGGGGGGGGGGGGGGTAGGATTTGTCAACCCTAGGTTGTTTAATATTTCCGTTAAGTACTGTTTTGAATACCAGAATAGGGAGGAAGGGAGGATGGTGTAGGTTTAAGTTTATTAGATTGATACATATATACCAACAAGACAGTCTACATCACAGTGACAACAGTGTTTGTTTTCATTCAAAGGCTTTGTGGTTTTTCCTATATAACCTGGTGGGCCGGTCTCTAGTCAAAATGCCCGGGCGGATTTTTTGTCCCAGTCCATGCCTGGCTGGACCCAGAGTGAAATTAATTTGTTATTTCTTATCTTTCATCTGAAAAGTGTCACTTACGTTAATACATACAGGTGACTTTGTTTTAGAACTTTTATGGTGCGCTAATTACATTAAATTTCAACATATCATTTTGTGGCAGGTTGTGGTTTAGCATCAGGTGAGGGGTAGAGCAAGTTCAGGTGACAGTGGCAGAGGAGGCTGGGAGAAAGAGCTGATGCCTGCCACGGTGTGAAACGAGTGGCTTCGAGTTGTGAACTAAATAAAAACTATTAGTGAAACGTGACGCAGAACTGTCTCCTTGTGTGTGTCATAACAGAGATCAGTAACAGAGTGATACAGTGGTGCCCAGCTTGCCGCTACGACATGTCAAACCCACAGAATCTACAGCCAGCTCAGGCACTGGCTCAAATGATGGCCAGCATGGCAGACTTGCAGCAGCAGCAGGCAGTACTGCACCAGCGGCAGACGCAGATGCTACTAAACCTTTTGCCTCAGTCTGGGGCCGCTGCGAATCCGCTCCACCTGGAACTCTCTCCAGAAGACCATCGTCGCCGCTTCCGTGGTTGCCGCATGGGACCACAAGAAGGGCCTTCGGCTTTTGCCCAGCAGCTCCTGTACGACGCGGGGAGGTGGCTGCATCCTGGCCCGACACAAGGGGAGGCGCAGCTGCTGGAGGCTGTCGTTCTGGAGCAGTTTGTGGAGGGGCTCCCAAGGGAAATGGCGGACTGGGTCAAGTGTCGCAAGCCACCCAATCTGGAGGCGGCAGTGAGGCTGGCTGAAGAACACCTGGCGGCGCGGACGGAAAACCCCAGAAGATCGCAGCCAGGGGAGGTGAGCATCTGCAAAAGAGTGATTTTTGATGTTTTGGTTTTTTAAGTCTAATATCTTTACTTATGTTAGTAAATACACTTTAGTCAACAGGGTTTATGAAGGGGTTGTATATAAAATAAAGAAATGATCTGTCTTCCAAGTATCTTTATGACTTTATGCATATTTGTACCCATATTGTCATCAATCCAGTTCTTTTTGATTATAGAACTGTGATGTTATATTTGTTATTTCTGATGCCCTCTTGGCTAGCTCTCTCTTGAAAAAAACATTGTTATTGTCAATTACGTTTTACCCTGATTTGAAGTTACTTGATATTCGTCATGAGCGATATTTTTGACAGATTTTAAGTCAACAAGTAATTTATAACAGCTTAAATTCCTGCAGTAAATTTTTTGGCAAATGCTGGAAACCCCTTTTTGGCAGATGATCACTTTTTGGTACCCTACTGGCCCCAAGGAGCAAACTTTCCGTGCCTGTGCCAGTGACACTGACCATCGAGGACCACTGGCTACGCTCCAACAACCATTTCCTCTCTGCTTTCTATCCCCAGGTCCTGGCAGCGACAGGCGCTGTACCTGGCTCATTGGTGGCTGCACAGACACAGGGACAGGTGCGTGAGCAGTGTGGGGACCTGGGACATTTTCAACAGGAATGCCAGGAGGACGCCATGGAGGTGCAGCAGGTGTACAGTGTTACCGGGATGTCTACACCCAACTTTGGTCGAGGAGGGCTGTACAGCGTTCTGGTAAGGTGCCAAGGGATTGTACGCAGTGGCGTGTCTAGAAAATCTTTGTTGGGGGGGCCAGGTAGGGGCACAGATTTGGAGAAGGGTGGCAGATGTAATTGGCAGATAATGTTTAAAAAAATTCTACCAACCATTAACCATAATTCAATAACCCTATAAACCTAATAACCGAATGTGCTTTTAACTCTTATTACAATGAGATTTTAACCACTACGGTGCAAAGTTTTTAGATACTGCGTTGATAAAGTACAAGAGATACAATCAGTGCTTTGTCAGTGTTTACTCAGCATTCAAGGACAGCAATATTTGCATAGTATTTTTACTGACATGTAGTGCACATATGTTTTGGGCAAAAACATTTTTGAATATTAAAATACGAACATTTGTAACAAACAATTGACAAATTAGCCAATTCCAATGTAAAACTTTATCTGCCTGTTAAAAAAAGAAGATAATCTTCTCACAAACTGGTGTTTGATTTTGAAACAGGAAAAAAGTGGAGAAACAACTGAAAAGACTAACATTTGAATAAAACCTGAAAGCAAGTAAATACTTTCTCTGCTGCCTTATGGTAAACTTTGGTAATATTGATAAAGAGCAACACTGGCTGATGATAAAATACAATCAGCTGGCATGGTGACACTGCCAGTATTAACCTGCAGGGCTGGACTGGGACAGAAAATTGGGCATTTTGACTAGAGACCGGCCCACCAGGTAGTAAAGCCATAAAGACTTTGAATGAAAACAAATGCTGTTGTGACAGTCCCATATGGGAAAGAAATAGTAAAAACTTACATGATTTACTCATGAAAGTGGCCACTTTCTCATTACTTTCATATATTGTTTTAGTATCCAAAACATACAAGATTCATTATATAATCTTTCAAGGGATCTTATATCTGTTTTTACTCTTGTATGCTTTTCATACAAGTTTCACACAAGACAGATACAAACTTTATAAGATTTATATATATCTTTTCCATATGTACACTGTCTTGTTGATATATGTATGATTTCTATACATTTTACGTCAGATTAAAACTTTGGTTGTAAAATTTAGATAATTATTTAATAAAAGCTAGATATTTTAAATGAGAATAAGAAAGAAAAGTATTTCTTTGTGCCCCCTTTCCCTGTTAATGCCCTACATGCCCCCCTGGCAAAACTTTGCTAGATCCGCCCCTGCACAGTTACCAGCTGTCAGCTACCTAAAAAAGGATCCTGGGGTTATTTGTCTTTCAGAAACAGTTCATAACTTCCCTTCAACTCATTCATGTCACCTAAAAGGTAAACCTGTTTCTCCATCACAGCTCTGATGATTCAGTAAGGACATCTCCTGGTTTCATCTTCATGTTTCCCTCTGACCACATATCCAAACCGACATCATGACCAGCAGCTTTACAGCTGTTGCTCCAGCCAACATCAGCTGATACTAGAAATTAATATTAAATAAATTCTAACAACAGCTGATCAAACGTGCTGCTGTTGTTTAGCGCGACATCTGCTGGTTTCCTCTTTCTGGCGCAAAGTGGGCAATAAACAAACAAGAGAGAAAAGCTGATCATTGATCAGTTTCATGATTGAAGTAGCAACAGGAGAGGGAGGGGAGAGAACGAGAGAAGAAGAGGCAGCTGTGCAGCGTAACGACAGAATAAATCCAGCTTTGTGTCTTTTTCCATTCTAGCTAAAGGAAGCTTTAAAGCTTTAAGGAGCCATTGGCAACTCTACTAACTAATCTTATGAATAAAATAAAGTTCACTATCAGTAACATCATAGCACCCACCCAGCTGTATAAAAACTCTGTCAAGCTGGCTAGAACCAGTACTAGTTATTGCAACTGAGGGTAAAAAGTCAGCACAACGAAAATAAACTCCACCTAAACTTGGTTTATATCTGACCCAGATAGACTGCAGGTCATAACTTCTTACCTGAAGTTCAGTTCACCTGACACTCAGACCAGCGGCTGCCTCGGGGCTCTCCTCCTGCCTCCCCTTCCCTCATCCACCTGCTGGCCTCTGTGGAAGCTCCGCCATAGCCACCACCAAACAACTGAGTTATTTTTACACATCGACCTGCATCTGGCTAATCCACCACCTCTCATTGTTCATGCCATTACAAAAATAAAAAATAAAAAATAAGTCACCGGGCATATGCCCGGTATGCCCGATGGCCAGTCCAGCTATGTTAACCTGCAACCAAATCTGCAGCTCCATACAGCAATGTTACGACTTAGATTATATCTTATAACTCATAACTCTTATGTTAGCTCCCCTCTGTAGCATACTGTCTGAAATATTCCACGGCTGCAATAATTCTTTAAGTGTTATTTTTTCCTTGGTATTCTAATTTCACCGAAGTTTACTAAACCCAACAAACTTAATATTACTTACCGGGACATTTATTCTGTCCTCATTTTCTTTCACCGAAAAATTGTTTCCTGCAGTGCCGTCTTTCGTGCTTGGCTCTCCTACCTTTGCTAACAGGCATAGCACAGAAGCCGATGCTGCATTCACTTACACTCGGATATCTGAGCTTCACCGTGAAAACATAATCGGACATTTGATATTTGATTGAATTTTATTGTTTTGCCTTTGGGGTGGCACCTGGGGTGGCCAGTCTGGTTGGGGGGGGGGGGGGGGGGCTGTGCCCCCCCAGACCACCCCGCTGGACACGCCACTGATTGTACGATAGGGAATTGGGGTTGCACGCAGACTACTCATTGTTGGAGGAGTTGGTGAAGGTTAGATGTGTGTATTAGTGGTGGGCAGGCACGTGCGAGGGGGGGGGCTTGAGCACCTGCCCCTTTCCTGATGGATTCCCCAAGTGCCCTTTTCTTGAGTATAATTTTTATTTATTTTTTATTTTTATTACTGTTTTTTGTTTATTTTTGTGTGCGTGTGGAGTCCTGTCTGTTCCCCTCAACAATAATATTTAACTATTAATCATAGTTTTGCTAAGTAACAGGATGTGGTTTCCATCAGTCACATGACTACCATTAACCAATGATCGCCCTTGATGGCAGAGCACGCTGGTTACGAACCGGGAACGAACTCGCAAAGAGCACGAGCATTTTTTGCCGTCTGAGCGGTGCAGAGCTGTAGGAGACTGATGCAACAAAAGCCAGTAAGTAGGTGTACAGCGTACTCTTTAGTCTACAGTACACAGCAGTATTAGCTTATTTTATACACGTTGGTAAACTGTCTTGTGACAACTGACGAATTGAAACAAATGAGCATGCTGTGTGTGTAACAGCCCGACAAACATTACCTGTCCTTTTATTAACTGCACAAGCAGTGCTGGTTTTAGCCACCAGCTAACTGGGTAACGCTGTCATGGGTCTGTAGCTCTGTCCACCGTTTTAGGGAACGTGTTTTGTATTAAAGTAAGTTACAGGGCGTTTTCCTGCCTTTCTGGAGGGCTTATATTTCACTAAAAACTATCTAATATACATGTCCACATAATTATGGTTCATTATAATTACAGTATTATGGAAAAACACTGTTTTAAAGAAAAGATATTAAACGGAATATATTAGATTTATATTTCAAATATGACAAAATGCTGATTTTACAGCAGCAACATTATTGTATCTCTACAGTTTAAGCATTTAATAGGCTTTCTGCCTGCACAGAGTAGATAGTCAAACAAACGGAATCATCATAAATACTTTATTATATATTTATTACTTTTTTTATTTTATTTTAATTACTTTATTATTAGAGCGCTAGGAATAAACAATAAGGATTCTTGATCAGGACCATGATGCAAACATGTGGCCATAGTAGGATATATGCAGTATTCTGGAGACGGTATAAAATATCACTGTATGTGCCTGTGTACCTGTATGTATGTGTGCATATTTTATGTATATAGATTTTTTTTTATCATTTTTACTCATGATATGACATTGTCCAGACATGCCCTGTAAGGAAACAGTGACAAAGGGAGCTTTTTGAGGCTAAATGCAGTGGATCCCTCTCTGGCTGGAATAAAAAAAAAACAGCACAGGTCACAAGAACACATGTACCAGTTGTTGCATTGCAGAGGTATTCCAGCATAAAACAATGATAAACACACCTGCAATGTTTTGGTTCTATAACATTTTTCTCTTATTGTTTTATTATAGAATAGATGGATGAGTTTTTAAGTGTGGATAATTAAATAATAGTTTATTGCAATAGTAAATTGTGCCTCAGATGGACAGCAAGTGGAGAGTGATAAATGAGATGAGGAGATGGGAGGAAGAAGAGAGGCAAAGAGTGATTCATAGGCAGAGCCTAGTTTGTTTCTCACAGTTTTGTTGCCTTATGGTTGCTGACATGGCACTTTCACCAATCTTTTTATTATTATCTCATAGCATTTGTTTAATCAGCTACCATCTCTCCTATGGACTTTTTACAGTCTCCAGTCGCAGCTCAACACAGCCCGTTCCTCCTGCACTATCAGGAGCAGGATCAGCAGAAACTCCTCAACAGCAACATTGTACCCCATCAGGTAAAACAGTGATATAGTATGATGCGATTCTGTATTAGATTCTTAAAGAATGTGTGTTGTTGTTCAGCCTGGTTCTATGTGCCTGTTTTTAACTTTGAGCACCCGCCCCTTTAAACAGCTCTGCATGGCCCTGGTGGTGGGCGGATCAAACCAAAATATAGATGCCAAAGTTTGTTTTGATATTGATAAATAGGAGCATAATGAGACTGATATTAGTTTCTGTCTTGATACATGCTCAATCATCCAGGTAAGTAAATCCCAAGTTTTCCCAACTATATAAAGTGCAAATGTTTATAAGGTTGGGGAAACCTGCAGTTAGCTGAGACTGAAGAAGTCACTTGGATGAGCGATGAAACGTTTCTCCCACTGAAAACAGTCCAGATGAACAGAATTAACTTTTTGGGATACTGGTTTCTGTTTCTTTGTTACTCCTAGAATCATCAAAGAGGCAACCTGGCCGTCTATCTAAGTGCTGCTGCTTTCAAGTGTCATAATAACATTTATTGTGATTGAAACAAATATCCCGAATATATCATAACCCCTTTGTGTTAACTGTAAAAGGGATACTGTGCAGTTACTATATTTAAACTACAAGTAGATGTGATACAGACTTCTCATTATATGTTTTCTGTCCTTGGTTTTAATTAATAATCCAAAGAAAAGAAAATCCCCCAAACACTTACAGGTCATGAAAATTCATTCTGATTTAGCAGTTTGATCCACCATCCACCATAATTATCCGGTTGTTCAGTGATGACGCGACGAATCCTACTTCCGGGTCTAAAGTAGTCTGCGTTTAATATGGCTTTTGTGTTGTTAACATGTTTAATGTTATGTATTTTCTTCTATTTGATCTCAAAAAGCTCCTAAAACAGTCAGTGATCACTGTTGAGCTCCCTCGGCTTTTATTACCGCTAATCATTTATTTAAGCTCAGTTTTTAAAACCTTACGATGTAACTACAGCCCAGCCCATGCAGCAGTATATGAATGACTAACCTCGTATTGTGGATGGATTATCTCAGTTGTTCTCCTGGCTGAAGTTTGGTCCTTTTACAGCATCCTGCCATGCGATTACATTTGTTCCTGACCACCGAGAACACTCACATTAACTTTTATCGAGTGGAAAAAAAGTTAGCTTGTTTATATTATGCTAACATAGCTGTGTCGCTAGCGGTCACGTAGCACATCATTATATACCAGCTAGCCCAACTTCAGTAACCCTACAAACGTCACTGCTGTTTAGTTTTCTGTCTTCATTTATGCTGGAAGTGATAGCAGAGCTGTACGTTTTAATTTGTTTCCAAAACCCCGCAGTCAGGACATGCTATATTGTATTTAGATAGAAGCTAGCGAGCTAACTCCCTGCTAACTTCTAACTCTGTTAAATGTCATAAATTCCGTTTTCATGGATGCCTGGATGTTAAACTCAATTGTTACACCCGGTAGAGCAGAACGCTGATCATTTTATTAAAGATGAAAGACTTTAGACAGTTTTTCAACTCTCAGTAATGCCATAGTGATCGTTTGATATATGGACCTGCAGCAGAGTTTAGACCCAGACACGGCTAGTGACGTCAGACTGAACAACCGGATTAAAAACCACTAAACAACTGATGTAGTTGCCTGATGTTGGAATACACATTTTACCCTAACAGCTGGTGGTTGCCAGGGATGGGGTGGTCACCAACTGGTCTCTAGGTCTGTGTCACTGGTGCTGAATTAGGCAGAAACATTGACTCATGGGATCATGTTTACTGAGAGGCAAGAATGCAAAAGT